CAGGGTACCCAGCACCTCCACTAGTTGTCGCGCGCTAGGAGCACGAAGAAACGTACAAGGAGACGCGACTATCAAAATCTAGGACACAAAGAAGGACGTCTCCGCTGGCATGGGTTGCTCGTCTTCGTCTTCTTCGTTCACTGGCACAGACCTGGCTCACTGTTCGCTGGCACAGAACACCAGGTGGCAATATATATATATATATATATATATATATATATATATATATATATATATATATATATATATATATATATATATATAATGATATATAACAGACAGTAATGCCAAGGAATGTACAGGGGAAGTTATTAACATTAATGGAATGTAAATAAGAAGAAAGAAAAGTGGATGAAAAAATTACCAACTGTAAGCAGGAATCGAACCTACGACCTTCGAATTACGCGTTCGATGGCGCTGACTGTCGCTCCTACTTCTAAATTCACAGATAAACCCAAAAAAGTGGATGGAGGGAGTGCCGCTGTAATAGCTCAGTGGTTAGAGCATCGAACGCGTAATTCGAAGGTCGTAGGTTCGATTCCTGCTTACAGTTGGTAATTTTTTCATCCACTTTTCTTTCTTCTTATTTACATTCTATTAATGTTAATAACTTCCCCTGTACATTCCTTGGCATTACTGTCTGTTATATCTCATTATTATTGTGTTAAAAACACGGAAAAACGAGCCCTTAGGTATACACTTCTTTCCCTTATTTCATTGAACGAGGGTCTCGTACTGGCAGACTTGGTGTGTTTAGGTTGTATAAGAGGGACAATTAATCAGCTGCCCGCTCATAATAAGTTCACGTGCTACGTGACGCCAAACATGCGCATAAGAGTGTTTTCACAGTCGTTGTTTGGCTTATAGATGGCGCTGACTGTCGCTCCTACTTCTAAATTCACAGATAAACCCAAAAAAGTGGATGGAGGGAGTGCCGCTGTAATAGCTCAGTGGTTAGAGCATCGAACGCGTAATTCGAAGGTCGTAGGTTCGATTCCTGCTTACAGTTGGTAATTTTTTCATCCACTTTTCTTTCTTCTTATTTACATTCCATTATTGTTAATAACTTCCCCTGTACATTCCTTGGCATTACTGTCTGTTATATCTCATTATTATTGTGTTAAAAACACGGAACAACGAGCCCTTAGGTATACACTTCTTTCCCTTATTTCATTGAACGAGGGTCTCGTACTGGCAGACTTGGTGTGTTTAGGTTGTATAAGAGGGACAATTAATCAGCTGCCCGCTCATAATAAGTTCACGTGCTACGTGACGCCAAACATGCGCATAAGAGTGTTTTCACACTCGTTGTTTGGCTTATAGATGGCGCTGACTGTCGCTCCTACTTCTAAATTCACAGATAAACCCAAAAAAGTGGATGGAGGGAGTGCCGCTGTAATAGCTCAGTGGTTAGAGCATCGAACGCGTAATTCGAAGGTCGTAGGTTCGATTCCTGCTTACAATTGGTAATTTTTTCATCCAGTTTTCTTTCTTCTTATTTACACTCCATTAATGTTAATAACTTCCCGTGTACATTCCTTGGCATTACTGTCTGTTATATCTCATTATTATTGTGTTAAAAACACGGAAAAATGAGCCCTTAGGTATACACTTCTTTCCCTTATATATATATATATATATATATATATATATATATATATTAATGATGACAAAAACAGTGCTCAGGCATGGGCCGCATACCCGGCTAGAGAAGAGAGAAGAACGAAGTAAAAATAAGAACAGCTGGCCCAGGGTTGGGTGTTGTCTCTTGTTCTCCTCATTACAGTGGCGCAGTTCGACAAGTGAACCCTCTGCAGAAAGCCACCGGTATGCGTCTTCGTGGTTCGTCGGTAGCGCGGGCTTCGCCATCATGGAACGCCGTTCACACTTCCTCAGCGATGGGGTCCCACCCGCTGCTTCACCCACCCTTCAGACCACCTGTGGACGGCGTCCAGGCCTCCCCTGTGGTTCTAGGCCATGACCAGGTTGAAACCCTGCCACCGTTTCACGGCAGAGATCCGCACCGGCTCCTGTCCCTTGGGAATGTCGCTCACGTTTCCCATGGCCTACATTCCTGTTGCGGTACTCTTTCAACAAACGAGCCGCCATGGAACGCCGTCCAGGCTTCCCTGCTCGTTGACCTCACCGACGTGAGTGCTGAGTCCGCTACTTATTCGAAGACCGTGGTCACCGACTCTTCGGGCTTCACGCCCGAGAGCGCCGTGGACCTGCGGCGTACCATCGCGCTACTACACGCCGAGACTAATGATCTGAGAGCGCTGATCGCTGAGCGAGCTCCTACAATGTTGCCAGCATTGTGCGACATTAACGCAGTTTTGGATGTTGCTGCCTCATACGACCTTGAGGCAAGCACACCGGAGCAACGAAGGCAGCTTTGGTTTTCTCTCATCGAGCTCTCACACCAGCTCGACGGCTTCGCGTCGGTGGTCTCTGCGTTGCCACCTGCTATTTCACAATCACCAGCTGTCTGCAAACTACCGGAATTCCACGGGGTCCGGAACGACGCCGACAGCTGGGTGGCAATCGTCAACGCGCTAGCAATGTGCGTGGCCTGGACAGAGAAACAGAAATGGTATGCGGCCATAGACCGTCTTCAGGAAGGTGCCGTGGCGTGGCACCGGTATGAAGGCTGGAAGCAGCTGTCATGGGCGGAGTGGAGCTGCAAACTCATAGCTGCTTTTGGTCGTTATCCTTACCACCTCTCTACTACCATCCCGTCCAACCTGACCAGTACCGAGGATGGAGTTCAAGAAGGGTTCCATCTCAAGGCTCACGCTGAGAACTCCAGCTCTCCACATGAGCTTCCAGACTCGTCGCTGGTACCGGACCCAAATACGTGTCAGCCATCGGCCACCCCGTCCTCTTTCGTGGAGGGAGATACAGAGGGGCACAAGGTAGCTGGACCACTTGTAAACGTGCCCACTACTATATATCGAGCCCAAGTGGGGCGGCAGCTCGACGTCTCATCGCAGTCCTCCAATCTTACAACAGGCAACAAGACCACCCTCGAGCTTTAGCTACTGGCATTGCGGCCTTCGAACCCGACACTTCCTGGGCACGTGGAGTTGTCCAACCCTGTCTTGCCGGATGGGTCACGACATGACACATCCTACCTGTCTACAATAGCAACAGTTCCCAGTAATACCAGCGAGGAGAGCAGACTCAGTGATCAGGCGATGGTGGATTTTGCTACTACGCGGCAGTCATTGGCCGAGGGTGTGAGTGCTTCACTCAATCAATCAATGTCTACCTAAGACCGATTAATGGACTATATGCCCGTTTTATCTGTATCTGCCCACCACGCCTTGGCTGACGGTAGTGATGCACTGCAAGCAGGCGAAATCAGCATCAGCACTTCCGGCCTCCCGGCGTACAGCCCTACTTGGAATCACGGGCAATGCAATATGACTTTGAGACCATCTGAATGCCATGCGGATCATCAGGAGGCAGTGTGCATTGTGGAGGAATCAGAGGTAGATCGGCCAGCCGGCGACCAGCTCGCACAGAACAGCGAGGTGAGGTCTGCGTACGACCCTGGTGTCTGCAGCGTGATATGTAGCTATAGTGGCTTAACCCCTATGGACGCCGTTGTAAACAACCACCAAAAAACATCCTGATTTCTTACGACCACAGAACAAGAAGAGGCAGAGATGGCAGCGCAGAGGCTCCTGCGTCAAAGCATTATGCCCGGGCATCGCAGCCTGTCCAGAACGCCGACGGCAATGAAGACCAGTGCCCCAAACTGTACCAAAGCAATTGCCTGCTAAGCGTGCTGCGACCACTACGAGATAACCATGGTCATCGACCAGAGTGTTCGACAGCTCCGCAAGGCGAGTCATCGCGTCCACGAGAAGGACCCCACAGATACAGCCAATACCGTCCGCCAGAAACGGTATTGGCAACTCAGGGTTCAAAACCTGTGGGCCGGCGACAACCATTGGGCAACAGCCAGTGCCGCCCTCCAGAGGCATTAGTTCTACCTATGGGGGTTTATGGCCTAGGTCCTATAAATGTTTCCACCTTCGAAGACAGGACCTGTGCCAGCGCAGGGCAAGCTTGGAAGGACTGCATGCACGGAGCGTGGCCGAGAGTAATGATGAGAAAAGCAGTGCTCAGGTACGGGCGCATACCCGGCTAGAGAAGAGAAGAACGAAGTCCGAATAAGAACAGCTGGCCCAGGATCGCGTGTTTTCTCTTTTCTCTTCATAACTATATATATATATATATATATATATATATATATATATATATATATATATATATTACTCTTACTTACCAGAACAGATACGATATCACTGTTTATAGGACGTTTTGCAAAAAAATCCACAACTTTCTCGTGGAGTTTTCAACCCATCTTTTTTATTTCAGAAGACAGTTAGGTTAAAGGGTCGAATTAAACAATTGAACAAAACACAAAAATAGTGTGTTGTACCCCACACAACTGTAAGAAACGTGCATTTGGTCGCGTTGTAAGTTCGCGTACCGGCATATTTTTATACTCTGGTTAAAAATAGCTGTGGCACCTTGTATATTATGTTACTGATTCCGATTTCATACGCAACATGACGGTGACGCCGACGGCGAAATTCGCCTGAAGACGTCCATACAATTATTGCAGCAAAACTGGTAATTATGGCGTAGCTACTTCATCAGATTCCACTGTCGTACAAATTTTTGCTAGTATGCTTCCTACACAGCCAAAATAGATTTCGTGGTCAAACATAACGGGGAGTTTTACTGAAGCATCGTACTACGGCCGTGCCACAGGTGTGGAGAAAGCTCACAGTTCACATGCGGCTCCTTGGTTTTGAGATACAATGAAACTGCACATATCTGGCTTCGATTTTAAAACACATCGGAAAGGCCCTAAGTGCCGTGAATGAATGTGGGGCTTGATTAAAAACTCCACCTTAACTGCCATGTGCCTAAAGCTAATACAAGTACTCCTTCATTGCCCTTGTTTTAATCGAAAGTGAAAGTCACCTCGGACTCTGTATCGATGCTCCTTCGTTGTCCGGTCGTCTTTCATCTTGGAGAGAACTCGTAGAGTTACTGCTATTGTAGGCCGGAGGTGGGGGACGGGTGGATCCGTATCGAGCCATATTCGCGTACTCTGAAAATCACGGAATGTTTAATAAAGCCCTCTGGTACCAAAGTCTTCCCTGTTTCATATTTATTGGTTCATGAGTCAGGTGTGGTGAAAGAATGCCAGGCAGACAGATAGAGAGTAGTGATTGGAGCAATGAGTTGAGCTTTACAGCCATGGCGGCACAACTACGATTATACACCTATATTAAAAATCATACGGAACATACGTTGTGAATTGGGTTATTACTATCGTTAATAATACATGTTTGCTTTACTATACAATTTCCGCTGTCGCCTTCGACCAGTCACATAGTCCCCGCACATATGATTGTCTTCTCAATCACTCGCAAGTACTGCATTCCTGATTACGTTACGTGTGGCAATTGTTAAAACGCAGAAAAAATCCACCCGTACCTTGTGCGGTTTTAGGCAGGAGTCTCAGCGTACCAAAGGGGTTCCTGCAGATTCAAAAATAAATACATTGGTATCACGTGATGCGTTGGCAGCAATAACAATGCGTTAAAATGTGGTCATGTTGTCGTGTATCATTGCAAGCTCTGCCGAAAGCCCATGTTTCGGGCACCCTAATTTTCTAGACGGCTACTGTTAGACTCAACTTGTCTCACGACCACAGAAAATCAGAAATGGTCACCGCAGAAACAGTATTATGATTGTTATTGGTTTCAAGGTGAACTAACCGACGCAAGTTTTGTGGGAGCAAAGCGAAAGATGAATGTGATGAAAAGGAGGACACGTAGTGGTTCATGATACCAATAACTCTTCATAAATTCACGTGTTCTACCTATACAAGTACTGGCATTAAGCGGACACTCTAATGACCGCTCTCTCGGGTGTGTGCCACCGGTTGTTACTATGATAACGGGACGATCAGGTGACCCCATGAGAGCTTCGCCCCTATAGAAACAAAGCCCTAGTACCAAGGACACAGTGGGGCGCGAACCCGGGTCCACTGCGTGCCAGCCCAGTATTCTACCACTGAGCCACTTCGGCGCTTTGGAATTGTTCGCAAACTTGCAATGGCCGGTTTGATGTCAGGAAAGGAATTGCGTTAATATCAGATAAACAACGAGGCTTTACACAATGCGAATAGCGTAACCAGTGGGTCATCCGATGCTGCAACTCACTACAAAAACTTTTTTATTGTTCACCTAATAACTGTGGCGCATACCTACTCCAGGCATAATTCCTTATCGTCGTCCGCCTCTGCATAAACAATCGGCGCGAAATGCCATGCAAGTGTTTAGCGGATACAACGCTTCTCAGAAGAATGACGAAAAAAGCACAGTAAGTGCTGGTCTACTAGTTAGAAATCATTATTAATGCCGTAGTGGGCATCAAGCAAGCGTGCTTCCAGCAGTCTCTCAATGAGTGTTATGAGAAGTCTCTGAAGGGCCACTCGTCTAGCTTTCGCTGTGAGTGTGCTGCGCCTTCCACGCAGGCCTGGCGTTTTTTGGCAAGTGTTCGACGACGTACGAGATGAGATTGTGATCCTTTTCATGTGATGAACAGCGAGTCGTAATCGACAGACCATCTTACGCTCCTGTATTAATTTTTGTGGACCCTGAGTTAAGGAGTGTGATGATGAGACCACGGAGATGTAGGCTGACGGACGGACGGATGGACAGACGAATGGGCACAAACAGACGGACGGACGGATGGACAGAAAGACAGACAGACGGACAGACAGACAGACGGACAGACAGACGGACGGACAGACACACCCACCGGTTAGAGTGTATTTTCTGTTGTACACGTCTTGTTTTTGTCGCGAAGTCACACTGCAGTATTGTACTGTCGAAATCACTCCAAACAATCCGAGCTTTAAGAATATGTCGGTGGTAACAATGAGAAGCTGCGGCATCGACAAACTTTGTTTTTCAATAGTTAAATTACTGGCTTACAGATATACCTGCACGTCGCATTATCGGTTACGACAATGAATTCTGACTGTTGGGTGTTCATGCCCAAAGTTAATAATACACAAAATCCCTGAAAAGGAACAAGAAATTGAGAAATCTACCGAGCGAACACTAAGCCACCACCCCGATTTGCCCCAGTGTTTTGCGGATTTGTGGTAGGCTTCCTCACAGCATGATAACATAATGCAGCTGTTGTGCTTCAGTGAGGGACCAGTACTGGTTTCTTTTATTCCCTTTCGTGTACATGCAATACGAGTAAAGCGTTGATAGCTTGAATACAACAGAATCGAAAGTTGGGCTAGTCTTTATGTCTGTTTTTTCGTGCGCTTTAAATGATAGTTTGAATACGTTTTGCGTCCGAAACGGCAACGTTTTGTTCTATAAGATTTGTGGTGGTCCCATGAAAGCATGCAAGTTTGGAAGTATTGCCAAAAAATCCACAGCCATGATATTTCCATCGTTGATAACCGTTGGCATATCCCATCAGGTGAAAGAGTTGTCACAACAGCCTGCCGCCCTATTTATCTCTTTGTCGTGCAACGAACTTATAGGACTTATTTGTTATAACAATAGGATTTCATCGGCACTTGAGTACTGTCGTAAGTTGTTTCGACTGCATTACCAGATAACCGAAAACACTACTCTCATTGGGCTCCTTCTCATTCACGTGACAAATTCTTCGAGTAAGCTCCGGGTACTTATAAAGTGATGGAGGACTTCAAGGTTCGACTATTATAGCTAGTAATTTGAAGTCAGTAGCCGCTTCTGTTCCATAATGGACATTGTCAGAACTTACCTGCCTGTGAATGTCCGCATGGCAAAACCATCAAGAGCATTCAGCGTAGTCTCCGAGTTGTTCCATCACAAGAGTCGAACAAATCAGGACTTCATGACGAAAACGAGGCCTCAAGGCGCAAGAAAGCTTTCAGCACAGCAGGTGTCACTGAATGCTACGTTTCGACATGCGGACTTGTCCTCATCGCTGCTGCCTCTGCAGTGACATGGCTACGTGTCGCAGAGTTGGAGCCAGTCACGTGTCTTGTTCAAAGATTGTTTCTTTCTACCCGCCGCGGTGGTCCGGTGGCTGAGGCAATCGGCTGCTGACTTGCATGTGGTGGCATCGAATACCGGCCTCTGCGACCGCACTTTCGACGGGGGCGACAATGCTTGAGGCCCATGTACTTAGGTGCACGGTAAAGAACCACGGGTAGTCGAAATTCCCCGAGCCCTCCACTATATGGCGCCTATCATAATGAGATAGGAGTTTTGGGACGTTAAACCCCCGAAATTATCATGATTGACTGTTCCTTTTTCTACCATTTGATTGATTTGTGGGGTTTAACGTCACAAAACCACGATATGATTATCAGAGACGCCGTAGTGGAGGGCTGCGAAAACTTTGACCACCTGGGGTTCTTTAACGTGCACCCAAATGTGAGCACACGGGCCTACAACGTTTCCGCCTCCATCGGAAATGCAGCCGCCGCAGCCGGGATTCGATCCCGCGGCCTGTGGGTCAGCAGCCGAGTACCTTAGCCACTACAACACCGCGGCGGGGTCCTTTCTCTAATAAAACAAAGATTACTCGACAGTTGGACTCACCTCGGGTCGAGTGCTTGCATTGTTTCCAATGTGGGTGCACGTGATGCGCTAAGAAATGACAGCGGGAATGGGAAGCGGCTACTTCCGGTCATGGTTGGCTGTGCTGTGACTGAAACAGAAACATTAAATTGGTACTTTACTAGGCAACACGAAACACATTTTGTAGCAAACAACTTGCTTATAACTTTACATGTCGTTTCATTGTAGGTTTCATGAAAGTGTGAGAGGAAAATGCATACATTCAACATAATGAAGCTGATCGACAATTAAGTCAAGAAAAGCAGAAGAGACATTATTTGTGATTACTCAACTCTTCGCTACCAGGCTTACTCAAACGAAACAGCGGTGACTGAAGCATGGAATCGTCGATTTTTGCATGTTGAATCGGTTTCTCAAAAACAAACAACTTTCTGGTAGATGGCATAACCACTGAACTTTCAGAATCACATGGCATTCACCCTTTCCGGTAACATAATTATCTTTTACTAACTATTTACGTGAAAAATGGGTGCGTGTTTTGTAATAGCACTTCGCTGATTAACTTGGGAGATATGCGTGCCGCTCGTTATTATGCTTCAGTAGCATGAACAGCTAATCACCACGCAGACGGCCTTGAATTTGTCCTTATAAGGAAAAATTAGACCACAAAATTAATTTCTCTGTTTTATTTGCATCCATTTGGATATTTCTTTGAAAACAAGATAATTTTTTTGCTCACAGCCAATGACGCTGACCGAATAATTTCGCTGAAACGTGCTATTCAGCGCTATCGCCTTAACAACAATAACGACAACAACTAAGGGTGTCAGTCGCAAAACCACGATATGATTATCAGAGATGCCATGGTGGAAGGATCCAGAAAGTTCGGCCATCTTTTCTTCTCTAACTTGCCTTGAAATCCCACGGAACACAAACCGCCAGCATTTAGCCGGAGGCGAAACGCCACTGAGTGGCTTCAGAAACTTCCTTTCATCGCATCTGAATTAAGTGTGCGTTTCATGGGCGGCCATGGTCTTTCTACAGCCCTCTGCGGTCTCTATCCGGTTCTGAAGAGCGCCTATCCTCAATTGCACTATGTGGGACAGTGCAGGCGGGGTGGCGTGTTTATTCGAAAAACAGTTGTGACTTTGTTACCAATACTATATATTATATTGAAGAACTGTCGAATGTACTTTCAGAGCATGAATTTCAATCATACGGTCCGAAATGATGTGGAGCGGTTACAAGTCGAGGGCCAGAACTTCCGTTTGGTTACCTCGGAAAGGCTCGATGATTCCATAGTGACAGCACTGTTGGCGTGTGTAGTTATATCGTGTGGAGCCGATGGGTCTTTATCTGTAGCACGAACGGCGGAAGCAGAGCGAAGAGAGCACATGCGCGGGACGAGCATCATCATCGCAAAAAGTGACAAAGGGCGGAAAAGTGAATATATATACATACATACACACACACACATATACATACATACACACACACATATATATATACATACACACACACACACACACACACACACACACACACACACACACACACACACACACACACACACACACACACACACACACACACATATATATATATATATATATATATATATATATATATATATATATATTGCAACGAGCAAGTTTGCGTAAAAACACAGGCTATTATTCGAGAAACCTTAGCCGCAACAAGCTGGTACAGGCAGGAACCCGGCAAGCACGAGCCACACACGGATATCGTCTTCTTTCACGCTAGCACAGAGCTGGCGCCACTATGCTCCGGTACAATTACTCTCCGTGCAGAAAGGAGCCAACCTGGCGACCTAGGGAAATGACACGACAAGGGGGTCATAACACGGTTTGAGGCGTGATACGTGTAATGTTTCACGCCCATGGCAGCGTTGGTCCGAAAGTGGATCGATGGGCTCAACTTCATAGTTGACGGGAGATGTTTGTCGCACCATGCGGTAGGGGCCATGGTATTTCGACGAAAGCTTCGGGGAAAAGCCGGGAGGGGTAGATGGGACCCAGAGCCAAACCAGCATTCCTGGGTTATAGGGGACACATGACGCATAGGCATCGTGGTCGGTTTTCCGGCGCCATTGGTCTTGTGTGGTAATGAGCGAGCGAGTTGACGACTCTTCGGCATAGGAAGCTGCTTCGGAAACAGGCGTCGCTTCGGAAACATCAGGCCTGTAAGGGAGAATGGTGTCCATGGAGCATGATGGCTCACGTCTGTACAAGAGGAGGAAAGGGGAAAAGCCAGTGATTATTTGTGGCGCAGAGTTGTATGCGTACGTGACAAAAGGGAGCACTTGGTCCCAATTAGCGTAAGCGCCAGAGGCGTACATGGCAAGCATATTTCCAAGGGTATGGTTAAAGCATTCTGTCAAGCCATTGGTTTGAGGATGGTATGCCGAGGTTTTCCGATGCACAGTGTGACATGCCTTGAGCAGCTCGTCGACGGCGTTCGAGAGCAATACGCATCCACGATCACTCAGTAATTCACGAGGTGCACCGTGTCGCAAAATGAGATGGTGAAGAAGAAAGGACGCAACGTCTTTCGCAGTGGTAGCAGGCAGCGCAGATGTTTCAGCGTAGCGTGTCAAATGATCGATGGCGAAGTATCCACCGGTTGCCTCGAAGAGTGTAGGGTATAGGACCATAAATATCAATTCCGACGCGGTCGAATGGTCTCGCTTGGCAGGTTAAGAGTTGCAAAGGGCCAGCAGTGCTGTAAGAAGGCGTCTTGCGTCGTTGACATGTGGTGCATGACCGAACGTACTGGCGAACGTGCCGATACATGCCGCGCCAGTAGTATCTTAGATGAAGGCGAGAGTAAGTCTTAAATACTCTAGCGTAGCCACACTGGGGGTCATCGTGAAAGGCAGCGCAGATGTCCAAGCGCAAATGACGAGGGATGACAAGGAGCCACCTACGGCTGTCCGTCACGTAATTGCGGCGATACAAGAAGCCTTCACGGACAGCAAAGTGTCTTGCTTGACGAGAGAGGGATCGTGAAGTCGTTTCTGATGAACTATGAAAGAGGACGTCGAGCAAAGAATTGATCCAAGGATCCTTGCGCTGCTCGGATGGCATGTCTGTGATGCTGAACGATGACGAATCGCAAATGGCAGTTGATAAGCAGGCAAGGTCAGGAGGCAGTGGAGAACGGGATAGTTCATCGGCGTCTGAATGTTTGCGTCCTGAGCGATAAACAACATGGATGTCATATTCCTGAAGGCGTAAAGCCCAACGAGCGAGGCGGCCAGTAGGATCTTTCATGGACGCTAGCCAGCATAAGGCATGGTGATTGTGACATCAAACTGGCGTCCGTCAAGGTAAGTGCGAAATTTTCCTATAGCCCAAATGATAGCCAAGAACTCCTTTTCCTTGACGGAATAGTTGGACTCTGCCTTCGTTAGGGTACGGCTGGCATATGCGACAACGTACTCGTCGCCGCCATTCTTGCGTTGAGCGAGAATGGCACCGAGGCCGACACCGCTTGGCTCCGTGTGAATTTCAGTGGGTGCATTGGTATCGAAGTGGCAGAGAACTGGCGGAGACGTGAGTAGCCGGCTCAGTGCCGTGAATGCGTCATCGCAGTGGGAATTCCAGCCAGAGAGGTCCGCGCTACGGGAGAGAAGCTGAGTCAGGGGGGCAATTACAGAGGCAAAATTGCGAATGAAACGCCGAAAATAGGAACACAAGCCTACAAATTTACGAAGCTCCTTTAGGGTAGTAGGCTTGGGGTACTCGGCAACGGCACGCAGTTTGGTAGGGTCTGGCGATATTCCTTCTTTTGAAACGACGTAGCCGATAATTACAAGTTTTCTGGCGCCAAAACGACATTTCTTGAAGTTCAGATTCAACCCGGCTGCCGTAAGGCACTGGAGAACTTGTTCCAGACGGGACAGATGAGTTTCGAAATTCGCCGAGAATACAACTATGTCGTCTAAATAGCAAAGACAGATGTGCCATTTAAGTCCCCTGAGGACACTATCCATCATTATTTCAAAAGTCGCAGGCGCATTGCAAAGACCGAAGGGCATTGCATTAATTTCATATAAGCCGTCAGGGGTCACAAACGCCGTTTTTTGATGGTCTAGTTCGGCCATTGGCACTTGACAATGTCCAGAGCGCAGATACAGTGAAGAGAAAAACTCCTCACCTTAAAGGCAATCCAAGGCGTCATCAATGCGTGGCAGGAGATAAACATCCTTGCGTGTGATCTTGTTTAGCCGACGATAATCCACGAAAAACCTGATGGAGCCATCCTTTTTTCGCACAAGGACCACTGGCGAAGCCCAAAGACTGTGTGAGTGTTGAATAACAGCACGTCAGCATCTCGTCGACGTGTTGAGTGATGAGGTCACGCTCAGCCTGCGAGACGCAGTAGGGGCGCTGACGAAGTGAATTATGATGACCGGTGTCGATATGGTGAGCGACAACTGACGTGCGTCCCAAGGGAGGTTGTCCGTGTTCGAAGGAGGCGCGGAAACGGTCAAGTAGTTGAATGAGCTGATTGCGCTGGTCTTGCGTAAGGCCGTTGTCTACGCTGCGCAAGAGAACGTCTTCGTCAGGTAGTGAGGGCGAGGTGGCAGCTGTGACAGCATCCACGGACATCGACGTCGTATCAGAACGGGCATCGAAAGGAAAGATGTCATCATAAGTGTCAAGACTCCCAATACATTTGCCGTGCAATAAGGTAGCGGGACAAGGGAACGGATTGCACACGTACACGGCACTGGAGCCATCGGCAAGTGTTATGACGGCAAACGGGACGACAAGGTTCCGGCGACGAGCGCATTCTTGTGAAGGCATAAAGAGGGCAGTTGAATCAGAAGCGGAGTTGCACAAGAGAGATACCGCGGCGACCGAAAAAACAGAGATGACGACGTCAGTGGCGACGATCACCTATTTGAGTGAGCGAGGGAGATCTATGAATGTCCTGCTGAATGGAAACAAAACGAGTTGAGCACGAGCACAGTCGACAACCGCATGATTAGCGGAAAGAAAGTTCCATCCCAGGATGATTTCATGAGACGCATGCGGAAGGACGACAAATTCAACGATTTAAAGCGCTCCTTGAATCCCAACACGAGCAGTGCATGTTGCAGAA